CACACTGCTGAGAGCACTAAGTTTGGACAGGTATTTCCACGAGCAACGAAGCACCGCTTAGTTGCTCGCTACAGCTGCAGCTGCCGCTGCGGCACAAAAGCGCTGCAACTGTGCAACTTTCAGTTCAATTGAATGCGCCAGTTCCCGTCCTGTTGACCTTGTGCACCAAGCTCGGGTGAATCGAACATACAGTAACTCTTGAAAAGCAAAAACCTAAATCAAATGACACTTAGCCCCTTGCGTTCCACACGCGTATTATTTAGGTATTCTCTTCAAATATTTTATACATGAAACGCGAGCGCGTGCAGCGCGTGCACCTACGTTACAAGGATTCTCTCTGATGTCTACGTAATTTTGCGAAATATCTGTATATAGTAGGGCTATTCCTGTCATTGCAGCGACTGGGACCGAACCCAAGTCGAGCGCTCACGCAGTGCATGGTGTCCAGCCTATAGAGGCTTTCAGCGCGCGCCAGACTGACCCGCTATTGCTTACCTTCTCTTGTCTTACCGAGATGCCGAGCCACTGAAGTGGGCGTTGGAGAGCCTCCGCAAGGGCCTATGCTGGGGAGAACACTGCAACACTTAAGATGACAATAACCTGTCCTGCTCTGATAATGATGAAGTGGAGCGAACGGAATAAGAGGGAACAAAACTGAAGGTTGGCTATGGCGGCGCCTATGCGCAGCTGCTGCAAAGCGTCTATAATTTGCATTTGACAGAGAATAATGCCCCTACCCGAGTCAATAATGTGATGCCCGTAATTACATCACCAAGGCTCGCGAAGAGACGCAGGAAAGACGCCTTATTATTCAAGGTTCACCGAGAAAAGATGTTTCTTGTTCGATGGCTTTGCATGCGAGTTTCCTTGGATCACATCTGTGCCACTAAGTTCGTGTAAAATAAGAAACATTATAAACCAATATTGTTGCACGCCCCCTTCATGTTTAATGAGCATTGTATTGACAAAACCAGTCCTTCTTTACCTTGATGTGACAAATCCTGCAGCCCTTCTTTAAACCTCTCCTTAATCCGACATCTATTTTGTTTTTATATGTCCCACACGGCGCTCGTCTGTTCTAAGGGTGGACAGATCTTATGAAAGCAATTAATTTTGATTCCTTTGATGCCAGTTCCAAATTGACCTTTTTCACAGATCGCTGGGCGCATGCGCCGACTCTGAGAGAGGAGAAAAAAGGGAAAGGCGCCATTTTTGGTGGCTCTCTCGCCCGCTCGGTCGCTGAGACAGTGCTGGTTATTCTTGAATCCTCCGGCATTCTCGCGGCTTGGCTTTATAGACGTCATGCCTCACCATCGCGCAGCAGAAGGTTGCACAAATAGAAGTAAACATTGTTAAACTCCCAAATTTTATAAAGTTCTTGTAGCTTTTGGCGGGTGGTCCACAAAAGCACCCGATGTCAAACACCCCGCCCTTTTTGCCCTGCTTTCAAAAGCCTATGACGAGAGTCAGCCGTGTCAGGTGGCTGGATCATCAATGTGAAAGCGATACATTCTGCTTTTAGCTGAAATACAGAAATGTGAACCAGGTGATATACCTGAAATTGGAGTAGGAATAGGTAAACGCAAAAAGGACACAGAAAAGGACAAGCAACGTCTCTTGAGACGTTGCCCGTTTTTTCATTGCGTTTTCCTTTTCCTACCTCAGTCTTAGGTTTAATAATTAAAAATGAGAGTGTTGGTGAATAGATACGAATACATGAAAGGATAAAACATTAAGGACGGGGAGTACTTCTTGAAAGAAGTACTCAATTCCGTCCCTGTCCTCCATGTTCCATCAAGCTTTTATGTATTCATATATCAAGTTTTCCATCATGTTAAACATACACCAGTTTGCCTGCCCTTTGACCATTTTTTGTTAATATATAGTAAACGTGCAAACGAGGTTGTGCGACGTTATCATGCCGTACCCGGTACTCCATTAAAAAATAAAAACATATAGCTTTCCGTTCTTCAGGTGTGCGCTATACAGATTCGCGTCTTGCCAAAAAAAAAAAAAAACAAAAAAAAAACTGACAAAACATTTAAGGCGAGCGAAACGAATTTAAGCCTTACAGAGACAACTAACCTTGATGAAACTTCTTGGCAACCAACCGTGCCCATCTGTTTGCTGGGCCCACTTTGTCAAAGGTTCGTGAACGTGCCCAATTCAAAGATGGATTGTTTCTAATACCGTTCCTTACTTTTTGACGGTGCAGGCAATCCTTCGCAATATCAAGACGGCCTGGATTTCGCACCGTCCGAGTTTGTTTACACATTCCCGAATACGGCAATGTCCTGTGTCCTCGCGCGGTACACAGGACGGAGAAGTGACGGATGCAATAAGCTTGAATAACTTAAGCGATCAAGGAGAGTAAAATCAGCAGGTTGTAGTGGCCGGGAATCATAAATGAAGCTCGCAAGCTCCGCACAAGGTAGATGGTTGGGTCGGTATTCAAGCTGGTCACCATTACTTTCCTTACATAACATCTGTGATCTTTGCTTTGAAAGCAGACCCCGTTTTTTAGTTGCTTGCAAGACGTGACACCGAAGTGACTATGAAGTGACTCCGAGTCGATGGTAAGAACCGGTGCGGCGTCGGCGGTCTATCCACCCCTGAAGATATAAAAACGAACAAGGTCCTCTGTATCCTAGGCATTGACTTTTGTTAATCCTCCAGGTCCTTCTCAGTCATTTCGAAGAAAATATGCACGCGAAGCGACGACAGAAAGACACATTCAAATTGGTAAAGGAGGGAACAACGCCACCAGAGAACACGCGCAAACACATGGACCGGGAGACAAGCCAGGCCTGGCGCGGACGACGGAGAGACGGTGCCAGAGCCACCAAAAGTGTTTCGAGCGATTCCCGCGAGGGCGCGCCACGATCGTGGCCAAACTCTGAAAAAGGTCAATTACGTCCCCAGTAAGAGAATTGGTCTGTTGCGAAACATGTAACATTCCAATATCGGATCTACAGGCCTTCATTAGTTTGTTAAGAGCACCAATATTAATGCTACCGAACTTGTGCTATTGTCTCACGTGACGTATTACCCTTTTGGTTCGGTACCACTGCCGCCTGCAGTAATGCAAAAAAAAAAAAAAGAATAAAAGGGAAGGCCTATGCATTTATAAGTCCTAAATAACTGAATTTAGGTAACATGCAGAGCGAAAGCCAGCTACACAGACCGCCACATCTGTCACTTCTATTTCATGGCAGTTTCATCCTGAACGAGAAGTTATACCAGAGTGCCTTCGCGCAATCCCAAGTCTTCAAGCCCAGTATAGACCTTTCCAGCGGCAGTCTCGAACAAAGCGATTTACAGCGCGTGTCCCTGGTTTTGAGAGTCTACGTCAGTGTTGCCCGACTGCGCTGAGCTGTGGAGTTTCTCGTCAGTGGGCTGTGGCAGCCTGCGTAGGCGCAATTCCGGACGCTGGTGGCGGCTGAATTGCCGCGTTTTCTTTTTTTATCTTGTGTTCTGTGGCGAACATAATTTTAAGAAAGGAGTGCTTTATTTTTGGGAACCAAAACAAAGAAATGAAAGCTGTTTTGGTGAGTCCGTGCGCGACAGAACAAATGCAACTGGAATGTTTGTTTCATTTTATGTTCATTGTTTTACGGCACCGTACACTCAGCCGTGTCAATCTATAAGGGTCAAAATATTTGACCACACAGGATATCCGTACTGCATGGATATCCCCCCCCCCCCCCCACAATATAGAATTCAATGAGTCTCATCAATCGAACAAAAAATATATTGTACGCACCCCACGGTGCCGCGTTATCCGAACAGGATTTGAGAAAGGTCTCAATTAACACAGCATATCCAATATACAGTGTCGACGATAGTCACTTCACGACGATCGGACAGACTCCGGCGTGTTTTTGGGGAACATGTAAAAGAGAGCTCCTTTTTTGCACAGCTTCAAAGCAAATGAACGAAAGTGCTTATTCCGCCGCCACCCCCCGGACCCGACCATATCAGCTAGTTTTTGCGAAGACCCGGAACACAGCCTTGGAAGGCTTTTTGGAGATTATCTCGACGGAAATAATCCTCCAAGCACGTCGAACTGCCTGCGTCGCGGGCTGCTTGACGTTCGCTCTCTTTGGCTGAGTTTACATGGATCCGATCGTAGCGAATCGAATCGAGATTAACCACCTATGATTGGGTAGACGAGGAAGGGAAAGGAGGATCGCGGGCGCGTGACTGGTCACATCTCGATTCGATGCGCCATGGTCGCATCCATGGAAACGTAGCCTTTGTTCGTTTCCTGCAAAGGCCGAGCGGGCTACGAGCCCTGGTATTCCCTGGTTCTCACAGCGGAAGATAACATACAAAGGGTAAGCATCCTAAAGAGGCGAATAAAATAAAAACTTCCAAGAAATGCCGCCGAACTCCGAATGCAAAATGCAGGTGGGGAGTAACGATGACCGGGTTTCCAAAGCTCAGGTGGATGGCAGAAAATTCTGGTTGATAGGGGTCGCTCGATTCGCAAAATGGCGGCGGCCAGAGCGCTCTTTTTGCAAAGGTCTATAGACCTGGGGATTTCAGCAATAGTCGTGCCGCGCTGGCTAAACTACCGGCACAACAGAGACGTCGCACGCCAATAGACCGTTTTAAAACGTACAGCGCCCTCCGCGGCGACAAAAGGAATTTCGGGAAGTGCCTGTATAGAACCGGCCGTTGAGGGAGACGGAGGCGACCTCGCTGCTGACGGAGGAATGCAAGCGAGCCAGCGAGGTCAGGCGATCAAGTGTGCTACAATATCTTCGTCGCTATCTTCAATGTCACATGGTGGATGCCACCGGGGTGACGAGGAACACACGAGGCATTTTCATGAATAGTTGTGCGCTTCGCGCGCGGTCTTTCGTGATTTCTGGAAAGGTCTATTCAAAGCAGGCGGTCTCTCTCTGGTATGCACATTAGCCCAACAAAGATTATTGTGCAGTGCTAGATCCTTATTTCCACTATATCATTCAACGCGTCTCCGTTCTGCCTTTCAGAAGTGAAACATCTCTTCTATCTCCCTCTTAAAAGAAGTCGGAGAGCAAGACGAGACAGGATGCCGGGACAACATGACCCTCAGAGAGCCCTGCGAATCTGCATCATCGGGGCCGGCTCGAGCGGGCTGGTCTCAGCGCGGCAGATGCTCGACGAGGGCTTCGACCCGGTCATCTACGAGAGGTCGACCAGCATCGGAGGCTTGTGGGTTTACCACAACGATGACGTGGACGGCATGGCCTCCGTCATGCGCTCGACTATCATCAACACAAGCAAGGAAATGAGCGCCTTCAGGTGCGAGTCCACAGTGAAAAACCGTGCTGTCCAAGGCCAGCCTGAAGTCGGGCTCGGTCTAAAATCGACTAAAAGTAGGCTCGGCCGGCGAACGTCCTCGCGTTTCCTACAAAAGCGAAGGTCGCCACCCCTCTATGCCTGACTCAGAAAGGGGAAATCATTGCGATACTTTGCTGGAAAAGCAGAGCACATGCACTTTTTCTGAGAGTTGTTCTTGTGACGGCCTTTTCTTTTTAACACGGAAACCAGACGACGGGGCGTCTGCTTGCCGTCATCTGCTTGTCGCGCCTATCGGAGATGGCGCTACACGCACAAACCTCGGTCAACTCCCACGGCTCCTTCCATTGACCAAGAGAATAATGGTCTTACTTGTAAAAAAAAGAAAAAAACGGTGCTACGCCTTAAAAGGTTTCAAGGTAAAACCTACCAAAAATAAACACCTTGTATGCTAATTTGAGATCGCTGCTCATAGGCGCCTGTTTTCCTGGCCGATTGGCCTAGTGGCCCTATATCAGAGTTCTCAAATTCAATTGACTGGGGGTGTCGATAGTCCCACCCCCGAAAGTCAGAGGACCAACGTAAGGTGTTAAGAGATTTCACAAAGAAGTAACCTCGCGCTGACGATTCTTGTAGCAGCAGCCCTAGCAAAAAGAAAAAGAAGAAATCTTACATGTCTAAGATATCCCTTCGTCCCATAAACGTATATGATCATGTAATATCTTACAAGAGCACACGAGAACCACATAAGAACACATAAGAGCAATAAACGGTTGCATAAGAAGTTATAAGAAACTTCTTGTCAGTTTCTTATAATTTCTTTTATAATCATATATTGTTCGTATATGTTTTTATATGGTTCTTGCGTGCTTTTATAATACCTTATTTGATCATGTGCGTCTGTTGAAAAAAATATCTTACACATATCAGATTTTTTACTAGGAAGAATGAAAAGCGCCTTATTTTAATGATGATATTTTCTTATTACGAGAATCCCAATCCCATGGCTTTATATTTGGCAGTTGCTCCTGCCGAGTGAGAGTTCGTGCAGCCGAAGTAAGCCTTTGAGCGAAGAGTGGCGCGCTTGCTGTCTAGCAGCAGAATAGACCCTTTTCAAAAGTCCGTGCCAACGACTGTCCACCATTGCTTGCTCAGATACTCTGAGCATGAATTGAACGCGAGTGTGACGTCAGCGTGTGGCGAGGACTCGGATCCAATCACGCGCTTTGTGTCCAAGCAATGGCGACGGCCACTGTTGCTTGATGGACATTTGAAGAAGGGATATTTTCGTACTGGTGATTAACACAACAAAAGAAAGTGGGGAGCAAAAATTAAAGCGAACACGTAAGGCAAATTAAAACATATTAGTATAAGCTATGGGATACATTATTAGGCAGAGCTACGTTTTGTATAAAAATTGATCGGTAACATGAAATCCTAATGGCACAAAAGCTTTCTAGCACTCGGCACATGGGAGCGGGGGTTCGCAGCCGGTTGCAGCGGGCCGCGTCTCCGCGAGTCGCGGGCCGCAGACGCGTGTTTGATACCCCTGTCCTATAAACACGAGATATAAGGATGCCAGTAAAGGTGAAACATAAAAAAGGATCTGAGATTGGGGTTTCGATCGGTGAATTTGGCTTCTGAGTCGTCCTCATTTGTTTTCTGGTAGCAATATTTTTTACTTGTGCGCAGGTTTAGCTGCGTTCTTTTTGAGAAATCCACGATACTCCCGAAGTCACTGGCTCTGAAGCACATTTCGACTTCCGCACTGCAGATCGAAAACAGCGGCTAAACAATATCGCATATTGTTGCATTTTAGTCATTCGGTCTAGAAAGTGCCTTCGGAACTCGAAACCAAAGCGCCTGGCGTATCCTTTATGTTGATATTGCCCCGCGCAGGGTCATGGACTTCTCAAAGTTTCTCGTTTATTCTTGCTCAGGACATAAATAACTTCCATCATGTATTCCTGCTCTGGTTGTTGTTCTAGAAAGTGCGTGTTCATCCTCGCCCCGAGCGCGCGACGCCCGAGCCTCCTTCGCCGAATCTTCGAGATAGTGACTCACTCTAGATAAGAGGCCGCCTGCGACCTTGTCGAGTCAGTTTTGCCCCAGCGTTCGACTCTGCTGACACGCCGACTTCGACGCCCGCGACGCTGTGCTTTCTTCTGTTTCTTTCTTTATTTCTGGGCACACGTTCGCCTGATTAAACGTTTAATTTACTCAGTTATTCGCTGCCTCATCACTTGTCATTCGTGACAATATCAACTGATTTTTTCTCACAGTGACTTCCCTCCACCCAAGGATGCCCCGAACTTCATGCACAACACCAAGATGCTCGCGTACTTCAGGAGCTACGCGGACCACTTTGGCATCACGGAACGGGTCCATCTGCGCCACGATGTCCTCCAGGTCACCCCGGCCACGGACTACGAGGCAACAGGTCGCTGGGAAGTCAAAGTCAAGGACCTCAACTCCGGTACCGAGCTCCAGGAGACCTTCGACGCCGTCATGGTGTGCGTGGGGCACCACGTCTTCCCCAACGTGCCCAAGTTCAGGGGACAAGAGAAGTTCAAGGGCAGGATCACGCATACGCACAGCATCAAGGTGCCAGACCAGTTCAAAGACCGCAGGGTCGCGGTCGTGGGCATCGGCAATTCAGGCGTCGATGCCGTCGTTGACGTCAGCCACGTCGCAGCCCAGGTAAGTGGAATGGCAGGACTGGAGGGAAAACCATGCCCGAATTGCTTGCAATGTGCCAAAAGCAGATCGTGGAGTAGGCGCTGTGTAGCTGCGATTTTGTTACCTCGTTAGTAAGACCAGAAAACAATTTTTGTTTTGTGCAGGAACAACTTTGTTTTAAATGAAAATTGTAGCGTATTTCTGTAACTGCTACTTAATGATGCTCTCGACTATCAAAACAGCTTTGGCAGCTTTTTGTCCCCTGGCCCACCATATGTACGAACGCTCATTGTAGAGTACTGACGCTATTTCGGCTTGTTTTTTGTTGCAAGGACTATTGACAGAAAATGTTCTGCTAATGTTTGGGAAAGTAATACATCCACATCTACGAACCTGCTGTTGGATTGTCATAGTCTGTAACGTTCTGTCGCAGCGAGCGAAGGCACAGACAAGATGTGACCGTAAGGATTTACACATTTTGCACACCTTGCAAAAGCCCTATTCCAAATGTACCTGCCTGAAATTGAGCACCCGACCGTAGTTTCGCCAGAAGCTTTACGACTTTTTTGTTTCAAAGCCCAACTCGGAGGTAGTGAAATGTTAAAAATAGAGCAATATCGGTGGCCGTGTCTTTCCTATGTCCTAGGCCCAGATTTGTACACGTTACTAAAAACAAGTAACCGATTACAATTACACTCACTTCACTGTAAAAGTAACCGATTACAATCACAATTACAACCTCATAAAGTAATCGAAAAATTACTCTAAAGTAATCTATTCCTTCTCACGTTAATTCAACTTGTTTATTACGGTAGCATAATCCTTGGAGTCTCGCGCACAGTTCCGAATGAGAAAAAAAAGTCTTGACCGTTTTTGTTTAGAGCTGAGTGAGTTACGCCAAGTCGCCAACACATCCAATCCTTCTCGTAGAAATAAGATAAAATAGAATAAAAAGAGCGCTCCGTTAATACATTACTCACAAGGGGCTGGATAATGTAATTTTTCATAACTCCGGTGTACCAAAAAAAAAAAAATATATATATATAGGCTTCGTTTCCGGGGTATGTATATATATATATATATATATATATATATATATATATATATATATATACATATACATACATACATACATACCCCGGAAACGAAGCCTAGTGAAGTGGCCTCCTAATCCTCGAGGTCCCGTGCTCAGTGGTTTTGAGAAAGACAAAAAAATTGACCGTTGTCCGGAGCTGAGTGACTCCACCACATCTACCCCCCCCCCCCCCCCCCCCACCTCCCGCAAAAAAAAGAAGACACATTTGTAATGGGTAATTTTGTAGTATATTACAGCAAAAATGTAATTCAATTATAAGGATTGTTACTCCTTAAAGGAAGTAATTGAAGCGTCACACAATTACAGTAAAATGTAATCAATTATAACTAATCGATTACTTGTAACGCGTTACGTAGAAGTCTGCCTGTACCAGCCCATTTGTCGTCTGCACGATGGTTTATGAGGTCACTCTCGGATGACTTGCTGCACCAAAGACATTAAGAATCAATAGTAAAGTTTAGCGATCATCAATGGAAAAGCGATGATTAATACTCCTAACAAAACATATGATCAGTGATCATCCAGACTATGAGCATCCCGTATATGACATAGGAAATGCGCGGACGCCCTTTCTGTTCTAATATTAATATTTTAGCACCTGTGACTTGAGCCCTGAAAAAAATATACATAAAACATACTGCGAAACTAATTCATGTGCCCAGTGTTTGGTATGTTTGTTTGGAATTGGAATTTTGCAAGGCGTGCCAAATGTGTTGGTCCTTACGGTCGCACAATGTACGTGTCGTCATGGTGGATGTCGAAGACGTGCTAGTGAGAGTATGGCTGAAGTGCCTAATTGTATTTTGAGCGTTAACTTTCAAAAACTGATAACTGCAGGGTAACACGCTTCCTAGTGTTTCTACTCACCCAATGCTGAAAAAAAAATCGATCACATGGCTTTTTAGTCGGCACACTTATACAGGGTGCTTATCACCATAAGCATACAGTGGCGAGGCTTGTTCAAACCTTTTTTACTTTCGTTTTACTTAAAGCAACAACAAGCTGTACAAATAAAGGGGGGGATTCATAACATTACATATAATCTTTAGTATTATAAGCTCACAGAAACGCTTATGGTAATAAAAGAAAAACTCAGTTTATGTGAGGTTAACAATACTTTTGAGAATTCGCAATTCGTTTATCACAACCCCGAAAGACCCGTCTGTCTTTTGAGCCTTCATCCACAAGTTGCGGAACTGAATATATTTCAGAAGGCGCAAATAATTTCATTTTATTTTTCTTTGTGACACGGTATTGGACGAGGCGTGCTGCTTTATTTTAGAGGAGGACAAACCCAGGCTCTTTCGGAGCCACTACACAGGCAAAATCATCAGCACTTGCAGGAATTTTCAGTTTTGACGACCTGAGGTGTTGTGCAAGAGGTCTGTGTGCTTTAAAACTCCTCCCCACGCCAGAACACTCACGTTTGCGGTGCCCGCGGGAGAAGAAATCAATTTGGTCACGTCTCGTCTCTTTGCCATTTCGTGCAGATGAGACCTATTCTTGAAATGACTAGCCGTCCCGTCGGAGGTGTGGACAAGTTTGTGAATATTGGAATGACTTCCTCCAGCCACTCTTCAACTGCGCGCAGAGCGTACAGTGCATGTGCTGTATTGTGCACGATGTCGTCGCTGAGGGCTCCGAAACGGTAGATACTGCTCTCCGCTATATCTACGCAGGTGAAGATAGCGACCATTTGGTTCTTCCAATGAAAGCATTGTACCGCTTGCGGAAGAACGGCATCTTTCCGCAAAATTAAAAAGCAATACGACGGTACGAGCCTTGAGATGCGACTTTTCTGAGCTCATAGGAAGCCGCTGAGCATGTCAGAACAATTAATGGGTGAACTACTTCGTAACGCACCTTGTGAGCTCATTGCAAAATGCGTTACTTTCCACTTATTTATTCAGCAGATTGCCAGATTCCCGCAAAGCTACGACCATTTCTTTCTCTTCCTTGACTGAGAACGATGCCAGGGTTAAACCATCTCCTTTTGAACACACCCTGCAGATCCGATAAACGTACTCCTGAGTCGGGTTAGAACGTAGTCAAATGCTTTTAATGTATTTCGAGACTAAATTCTTGGCTGTCCACGCTTGGTATTGCTGCCAGGTAAAAAGTCAGTTTCTCTCTGTTGGTTTCAGCAAACAGTGTCCAGCAAACTCAGATGAGATACCAGGTATGTGTACCGCATAGAGCCTGCCAGTGAAGCAAAACGAGAGGGAAAGGCTGTCGCTCTCACAGGCGCGGCAACAGAGCTTAAACTCTCGTAACAACTCGTGGACAGGTTTTATGGCTTCTTCCTCTCCATTACGTGCATGGTTCATGATATGGTTGTCTTTTCTAATATATATAGTGTCCCTGTGTCCTTGTGTGCTGAATAAACAATCACGACAGCTATCTAAAAAGAGGTTTCGTGTGACATAAGCTGCCTGAAAAAAAAAAAAAAATCACTTGCGTTTTTGGACGTGCTCGACGGGCCCTCGCTTAGGAATGTTTCCCCACGAGTGGCGAAGTATCTGACGCGAAACTTTTCAAGTGTCCTATATATGTTTTTTTTAATCTCATATGACAATGTTTAAACAATATTTAAGACAGTTTCATTTTCTCTAGTTTACTAAGTAAACAAACTGAACATGCGGAAGAACCCTATAACATATTATAACATAAACAGTATTAATGTATAAGTCTTACCAAACTGCGTGAATTCGAAAAAAAAGAAGCTTTGATCATTTTACAAAAACACATATTATTTAAGTAAGAAAAGGAAAGGACACAGGACATGCGTCGTAGAATGGAGGCACAAATTTATGTATTTCTTTTTAAACGCATTGCTTATTCTGCCGAAACCATGAATGTAACATAATTTATTTTTATATTTAAGAACACATTAAAAACCTTTCACATAAAAAATTAGAAAAAATATTTTTTGTTAAAATTACGTAGAACTTTATACTTTTAGCGTTTCTTCTCAAGTTTGCATTGTTGTTTTTGTATGTAAACTATACTAAACTTAAAAAATATGTATTTTTCTTTCTAAATAGGCCTGAATACAAACTTACATTTGATATGGTTCTTATGTCATAACTGATTGTACTTAGAAAATTGCTTCGATTCAAACTTGCGCCATTGTTTCAAAGGTGTAAGTTTCAAGAGGATAATTTCAGAAAATAAAATCAAAACAAGAGAAGTATAACCATTCTACAGAAAGTATTAATACAGTGAAAAAGTTATAAGCTTTGTGAAAAAAGAATCTAAACGTTGCGAGACTTCAAAATATGTCAATCGTGAAAACTGCAACAATTGCTAGACCTACCTTGTGCCCTTTTAAAGCACGTAACTCAAGAACAAGAAAGTTTCCGTAGTTCTAATTTGCAGTTTTGCTCTAGCAACAAATTTTTTTTATCAACATTTGTTTTTTTCAGAAATTTGTGTGGCTCCATTATTTTTCCTATGCGAGATTTGAGATGAAATCTGTCTAATAATATTTTTATTATTAGTAGTAGTAATTCTATTAATATTATTATTATTATTATTAAACGCCACTGCGAAAATGACGCGGGGGACATTTTTTAAGGTAAATGTAAACACTGCGATCTGCTTTTTGCAAAATAATAAAAAAAAATACCTTACGCAAGAAAATTTGTTTTTTGTTCTCTGTTCTTGAAGTGGTAGATGCTAGTTTTCACAACTAATATTTCAAAACTATGTACTTCATCATCATCTGTGTTGCGAAGCGTACCGAAAATAAAAATGAAATTCACTGTTCATACGAGAGCTATGACCGGAACATTTAAACATTTGTTTTTATATAAAGCCTTAAGCTCGCATTGTACGTCAAGCTTCACTAAACACAACTCATGTATCATTTCATGATTGCGTTATGGATATAAATTTCTGTTTCCCTGTGTATTCCTCGAATGCCAAACATACGGTGAAATCGGTGTGTCTAACACGTGCGCACACACACAACTGCAATCTCGGCTCTAGCACACACACACACACACACACACACACACACACACACACACACACACACACACACACACACACACACACACACACACGCATTAAAATTATTCCGATATGTATCTGTGTCCTGCAACTAGCTCATGTCTACGGGCTCTCAGGACATATCCCGCGGAAAAGATTTTTGTTGAGAAGTAAGCGCATTTATTTTCTTAGTTCTGATTGATTAGCCGTAGGTTGTTGAAAACAACTAACGGCAACGAAGTACACTTTACATGGAGTATTACAGAATATGGTTCAGGAAAGGGGAGATCTCTGGTAGTTGATATTGAATTAAAACTATGAGCATCATTTCAGTATAAGCGTACAAGACATAGAAGTAAGATCAGACAATAAACTAAAATTATAGGCGGTGCAATGCCGGATCTAGAAACCTAGAAACATAGCTTTACGGTGTAAGAGGCTTCTCGACAAAACTACGATATGTAAAGATGCATTACCCTTATAGGAGCGTGTTTTCAGCCAGCGGCATTTTTTTCGTGCAGAAAATGACCATGGGTAATTGGGTATAAACCAATTAATCAATAAATCAAACAATCAATCAGTATTTTTATTACTGTAAATGCATATACAGGTTTAAAGAAAATCATCTGGGCCCATAAGCAATTTTATCCATTCGATCATGTCGACCGATTACCTAGACTTAGTCGAAAGAGCCTCGGTCATTTCACGGTGCCGTGCACTTTCCTTCTCACTTAGCAATGGCTGCCATCTTCCTCTTCTACATCTGTGGCCGCTACAACTTCTGAAATCATTTAAGGGTGTGCGGAATCCTCTACTCAAGCTTATATTTGGTTTCGCGCAGACGTACCTGTCCACGAGGCGAGGCGGCTGGATTGCACGCCGCGTGGGACCCAACGGGGTGCCGATCGACGCATTCTTATCCACGCGTCTCAAAAACTACATCCGGCACTTGCTTCCCGAGTCCGTGACCAACGAATACGCCGAGAACTTCTTGAACGGGACCTTCAACCACGAGGCGTACGGCCTCAAACCTAAGCACCGCTACAACGCGCAGCACCCAACCATGAACGATTCCCTGCCCAACAAGATCCTCAGCGGCTTCGTTCTCGTCAAGAAGGACATCGTGGAATTCACAGAAGACGGCGTCCTCTTCGAGGGAGACGACGAGGTGAGTCTGGAAACTTGCCTTCGACACTGCGGAAAATCAAATAGACCTCTGACCAAGCGTGCTGCAGAGTCCGCGGCGCCTAAAAGAAAGCCGGGAACTGGCTGTATACGGTGCTCGACGTCTGCGTCTTCTGTAGAGGGGCGGTGAACTTAGAGCAGCGAGCACTGAAAAGAAAAATAGTTGGCAGATGCAAAAGCTAGCTTCCTTTGTCTCTCCCCTTCTCCAAAAGCAGCGAGAAAGGTGGTCGTCATCTTTCTGTGCAGAGGGAGCAATGACGTCAGTGACAGGTGTTAAGGCGCCGAACGCCGGCGTCGTCCACTAGTCTTAGCAATCGATGTCTTAAGCGCAAAACACATGCGCGTCAAAACTGTCCGATCCGACGTGCGAACTGCCGGAACGACGTCAGGGGGCGAGGGTATTCGTAGCACAGGAGAGCGTCGAAAATTCTCGCCCCCAAACGTCGTTCCGGCAGTTCGCACGCCGGATCGGAGTTTTACGCGCATGTGTTTCCCGCTTTACCCGCTCTATGACATTCCGAAATCCACCGGGGATTTACGAACCAGCACTTACTCTTCGAGAAAGGGGAGAGGAAATATATTGAATGGTATTTTGTCTTGGAGGGATAAAAACTACCAGACTTGCTCCAACGAACGGCTAACCCACATTCGAGAGGCCGTCTACACCGAACCGAGAAGCAGCAGAGGGGGCGGAGATTCGTCGCAAAGATGATCACTCCCTCTCACGCCGCCTCATCTCCTCCTCTCTTCCACTTGAGCGCCGTATACACCAACTCAACTCTCCTACGTCACGCCGCGGTGGTGGCGCGCCGGACGCACTTCCGGTCTGGGGCGGTGGGCAGAAGTCGCTGTGCCAGACATGCATTCCTGTGTTCCTTTGGAAGAAACGAGACAAAAAACCTGCCTTCTCGTCAAATGCTGCGATGGGGGCTTTACCAAGAGAGTCTGGAAAGGTTTGAAGATCAGTTTTCATGTGTTTTTGAACCCTCCGTTCGTCCGAGGATGTGGATAGCAGCCGTGAAAAGGGCAAACCAGACGCTATCGAACTACGATTGCGTGTGCGGGCCACAATTTGTGGTCGCCAGATGTATTTGCTTTGTTCCAACATGAACGAGAGAAAACCCCCAAGTTGTCCGGACCACCCACGGATTCTGTGCGTCTTCAAATTCAAACGGCCGCCTGATCGTTCGAACTTTCGTCTGCTCTTTCAAACTTGTCTGCTTTTTGTCGTCTGCTCGTTCAAACAAAAGCGGCCCGTAGACCAAACTTTGACCCCGTGATTGCAATAAGAAGTAATTGCAGGCCTCAAAAGACTTAAGTAGGCTCGGTGTAAACAGTAGATACAAGATGTTAATTATTGGTACCTGTGGCCATCACCGACTTGTTACGCTTGGTCTGTTCCCGCTTCCGATTTTCAGTATCGACGTCGATCATCGCCGCTACCTTTTACACTTTTGCAGCACGAGCGACGTCGCGACCGAAAATAGCTACAAGAATCTCATCATGGTTTTGGCGTCCATTCTGCAGCGTTCATGCGAATGAATCGCCGCACGTCAAATTATTTACGGAAAGTTTAGCGGCGTAACGAGCCTTGATAATTTCGCTCAGGCGATTGAAGTGGTGAGACATTGCGATGAGGACGTAGAATCGACAACTCCAACGCGAAAAAGAGTATGCAGACTCACACAGACGCCGACAACGTGACATTCGAATGGTTTGTTGACGCGGGACGCGGTGCTTCTTGCCCGTACTCCATTGCGCGTGCGTTCGAACTGTCGTCTGCTCTTTCAAACTTGGCTGCCTTTTGTCGTCAGTTCGTTCAAACGACAGCGGCCCGTAAACCAAACGTTGACCCGGCAATTGCGATAAGTACTAAGTGCAGGCCTCAAAACACTTTTGAAGGTTGGCTGGGGTAAATCGGCTAAGTGTAAACAGATACAAGAAGTTGTTGATCATTGTTACCAGCGGCCATCACCGACTTGTAATGCCCGATTCTACTTGCGGTTTTCAGTATCGATGTCCACCATCTCAGCTACGGTCCACGCTTTTGCAGTCCGAGCGACGTCGCGACTGAAAATAGCGAGCAGAATCTCATCGTGGGAGTCAGGCTTTAGCGCCCATTCTGCGGCGTCCACGTGAAATGAATCTCCGCACGTCACATTATTCACGCAAAGTTTTGCCTCGATAGTTTTGCTGAAGCCGCTCAAGTAGTCAGACATTGTTAGGAGGACGTAGAATCAACAATTCCAACGCGAAAAAGAGCACGGGGACTCCCACCGACGCCGACAACAACGCAATTTAATGGTTTGTTTATGGGCGAAGGCGGGCTTCTTGCCCACCATCCACCGCGCATGCGCGGCGCCGGTGGCGTCCGCTAGGGGCGCTCCGGTTTGTTTGTAAACATGAGTTGGTGTATAGCACCGGCTGTAGCTGGGGGCGACGGAGGATTCGCAGGCAAGTGGGAGAGGGCAGGAAAACAATCCGGCTGCCCTCTCTCGCGCTTCCTTCAGCATCACGTGGACGCTGCTGCTGGGGCGCACAGTTTATTCGCACAATTCGTTGCGTTCTTCGCGTTCGTCCTCTTCGAATTTTGGGGGAAATGCCTTTAGAGTTGCGAATTCTCCTTGTGGCCAGAGAGGCGGGTCCCTATCAAAGCGCCGAAAATCAAGAGGCCGAATTATGAAAAGGCCAAGCGTCAGTACGCGGAAAAATTGAAATGCCGAAAAATTGAAAAGCCAAAAAATCAAAATGCCGAATAATCAAAGTGGAGAAAAGACATAACGCCGAAAACCACGTGAAAAAGAAATTACGCACTTTGTGGCTAACACTTGTTTGTTTTCCGCCAGATCACTTTCCAGTGACACGAGCCTGCTTAACTCGTTCTGCAAAGGCACCAGTATCAGTAGATTAAACTCATGTAAAATGTTGTACTTTTCTATCTGTCGTAAAGCTAGGCATATTAGTCGGAGAGGAGAGTTCCGATTTGTCAGCAGAAAAAGCCTCTGACCTACTGCGACGGTGGGAGGGCAACTACCTGCTTGGGAAATCACGTCGCCGTTTTGCCGGAGGTAACACCGTTGTGATCATACCAAGTCCACCGGCATTCCCGCCATCCCTCTGGAATGCGCTTGCCCTCGCTCAGAACGGATTTCCAAGGGACAACTACGCCGTTGAGGTACGGCACAGACGATGGGGGATATTGGTTGGCGGACACCACGTAAGCGTCTTCCGGCTCATCACCACCATGAAAATGGAGCAAGTTAGAGTCGAAGACGACATCGAGGAAGCGATCAGAGGCCAACCCCGCCGTTCATAATGCAAGAAGTAGGAGTTGCGCGAAAATCGTTTGGCAGCTGCTCTGGGCAACCGGGACAATGTCGACGTCCTAAGCTTTCCTCAATGAAATGCACACAACTTATCTCTTTCTCAAATGCAATAAACAAGGAATCGTTCTGATATGCGACGATATATGCAGTAATATATTTTTCCTTTTTTGAATGCTGGAACCATGCGAAGGGAAGCTATACTTGGGAACAACCTTTCATGGCTATTAGAAAAGAGGGCGAAAGCTTGTGCACATCGGCCGGCGGAACCTCTTCGCTAACTTTGATCACATTGCCAAGAAACTTTATCTTCCACTATAACTATTTGATGCCAACATTTTGATGTTTCGGCATTTGGATGTTTCGATGTTTTGACTTTTCGGCTTTTAAATTTTCGGCTTTTGTATATTCGGTTTGTTCAATTTTCGGGGTTTTAAATTTCGGCGTTCCGATAAATCGGCATTTTGATTTTCGACGCTTTGAACGCCACCCCAGAGAAGCTACGCGGAAAACGTTAGCTCGCACCCGTATTACTTGTGGAGAGGTACCTAATCGAGTTGCAGCAAACAACATAACTATAACCTGCGTCGGTGGGAACGTCCACAGTTTTCTTTCAAAACAATACCAGGGTGTTCTAGCAAGTAGTGTATTCGCAGAATGGTATTAATATTTGGAGCTTGTGTTGCTAGTTCCACGCCCGCTTTGAAGTGCACAACTCGAAGCAGTGCTGGAGTTTCGAAAACGGTGTGCTAAACCTTTGTATTATCTGCTATCCAAAGCAACTCCTCCCTCACAAATATAGGATGCACCCTTTTATACAAAAAGTTGTCTCTTGAAATACGTAGGCCTCTGCCAAACTTATGATAATTACTTACCTGTTTTTGAACTTGAAAAAATAATGATGATGGTGCATTTTTACCGCAAACTTTTGATAATGAATTGGACCTTGCTAGCTATTAAAATAAAAAACATGAAATGCGACGAAGCCAGCTAATTATTAATCAGCTGACTCCTTTTTTTTTTATAACGGCAGCACGGATTTTAAAAGGGACTTTCCTGCGAAACTCAGTCCGTGATATTATTAATTAGAATATGCTGCTGTTGTATGGGACCCCACTCACTCGTCACTACTTGCTCTTATTTCATCCATTAAAAACTGCTCAGCTTGTTTTACATTGACAAACTATCATCGCACTGCCAGCGTTATCACCATGAAAAATACTTTAGGTCTGCCGTTTCAACTCAACGCCGAACAACCTCTCGTTTCTGTCTCTTTCACAAAATATTTCATCAAACCGTTACTCTTGGTCATAAAGTAATTACTCCATCATTCTACATATCTACTCGCATTGATCATAGCCATAAGGTTGGTATTCCAAATTTTAAAACTTCTTTATTTCAATATTCTTTTATACCACAAACATCTATAGACTGGAACCACCTTCCCGCCTCGATTGCTAACATCACTGATATTATTATGTTTAAAAATGCTATTACCAATATGAGCACTTTATAGTTAATATTTTACAACTCTCTCCCCTCTTCGATGTACTTACCTTGAGGGTGATTTAAATAAATAAATAAAATAAAATGACCTGCACACAAGCCTTGAATGTCATACTAAGACTGACGCCGTTTTCGTTTTTTTTTATTCCTCACAAGCATTTGACCGTATACCTCACCAACACCTGCTCTATCAGTTGTCATATCCTTGACTTGACCCAGTCACATTTGCATGGAAACTTGGCTTTCTCTCGTCCCACGTGCAGCTGACGTTCATTAATGACCAAAAATCTTCCCTAACAAACGTTTCTTCTGGTGTTCCGCAGGGGTCCGTTTTAGGGCCTTTATTGTTTTTAGTATATAAAAAAATTACCTCCCGAGCACTATTTCCTCTAAAATACGTCGTTTTGCAGATGACTGCATCCTCTATAACTAAGTAAGAAGTGTTCCAGATAACAACCAACGTCAAAGTGGCCTAAATGAAATTAATAATTGGTGCAATGACTGGTTGATGTCGCTAAACATCTCTAAATGCAAACTAATTCGCTTCACTAGAAAAACGTCTTTACTGTCCTACCAACATTGCCTAGACTCCGATATAATTGAGTCTGTTACTATGTATAAACATCTTGGTGTAAGACTAAAACCAGACCTTTCCAGGAATATTACATTGAAGCCATCACTGCTGACTCATCAAAAACCCTTGGACTAATAAGACGTAACCCATGGCAAAAAAGTGCTCGTTTGTAATCGAAAAAAGAAAACGCTCGCAAGTTCACCGGCATTGTTAAATGGCGCAGGTGACCAAGCTGGATGACGTGATCCTGGCCACGGGCTACCAGATCAAGTTTCCCATGCTGCCCAAGGACGTAGTGTCCGTGGTTGACAACCAGGTGCAGATATACAAGTACGTCTTCCCGCCCGGCCTCAAGCACCCGACCCTGGCCATCATGGGGCTGATTCAGCCAGTCGGCGCCATCTTCCCCATCGTCGAAATGCAGGTGCGTGCCCTTTCACTCGGTGTGTCGCCGTGACCTCCTTACAACGCGTTATATAGGGGATACTTGCTGAACGCCATATTTGAAGGCGATGTTTAGAGCGTACGCTCAGAACACGGTGGGAGATAATAGTCTTCAGGTGAGGACAGCGCGCTCCTCGCGACGTGCCCGATAAAGTTCGCTCTTCACTCTCTTTCAATATGGTTTCAAGCGGCGCCGGCAGGTGACTCGTCGACCCGTGGGCACGTAAAAGACGGCTCGTGCCGCCTCATGCTCCACACGCGCAGAGCTCCAGCGAGGTTGTCGCACCTTTAGAAAGACCACGGTGTACCGGGTTGTAATGGCAACGAGATATTTTTTTTCGCTCTCAAGCGTGTTTCACCTGCAGAGGTTTTGGCCCTAGAGCGGCGCGATTTCTGCCGTTGCGGCGCTCTAGCCAGCTCCAGCGGTTGAGCGGCGCGAGCGCCGCGACGGCAGAAATCGCGCCGCTCTAGGATCAAAATCGCTGCATGTGAAACACGCTTTGAGGGCCGCCCACACTAGCGAGAAAACGCGCGTGGCCCGCCGATCGCGGCAAGTAACAAAATGTCGCCGAAGCACAGTCAGCGCCACGAGCGCGTGCAGAGACACGCCCTTTATCTTCCCGCTTAACCGATTTATCGGCGCGCCGGGCGCGTTTTCTCGCTAGTGTGGGTGGCCCTTCACACAGTTTCGCCGTTTGGCCGCCGGTGACACTGTCGGCCGCAGGCACGGTGGCAGCGGTATGATGCAGCCTTTCGGATGCCCGTCGAACGAACACTATCTGATTCCTCGCTTCGCGCGTTCAGCCCCGCCGTGTCCTCACCCAAAGGGTGTATCTTACACCATGGCTCAGAACGAGCTCCCACTAATAGGCTGCTAAAATAAAGACCGTCAATCTTGATGGTGCGGAATGCACGTGGCGAAACAACTGTTAAAGCCTGCCATCAGCACGCGCTCAACAGTCCTGCACACGGGTATGGCGGCCAGTGCATACTTCCTATATAACATGACCATAGGGATAGCCCACCCGCTGAGTGGAACGCGAAGCTCCAGTCGCGTGTGGTCGCACACCTCGTCTTGGACCCTACTATTTCGCGCCTTCCCATTGGCTCCGAAGCCAATCCTGTCATCTCAGCCTTGCCGCCCTGCGCATTTTCCCACCATACATGATAGCCTGCTCATTGCACACCTTCTATTGGCGACGTGCGCGACCGAAAGCGTCGCTGTGGTCGGCCTTCCACGATTGGCCCAAAAGCTGACTATGACGTCGGAAAGGGTATACCAACGACGGAAATGAGAGGAATGAAAGAACTTTAATTTCGACGGTGTTGGCAGTGTTGCTTTGAAAGCGCAATGATTTCAGGCTTCTACCATGCTATTTACAAACACCATTGAACTTGTTGTTCGCAAGGTAATGACGTCACAAGGGGGAACCATAGGAGGGCGCCACCAAAAGATCTCGCCGCTAATAGTCGGTGGCAGGCCAAGAAATCAATGGAAGCTCCGTGTCTTTCACACTCTCGCCGCCCTCCGTCAGGTTTTTCCTCCGCGTGGGCAAGTGTTATCAAAGACAGCTGGAAAGCTCGCACTGGAAACGGAGCTTTTGCTGGGCTCTTAAAGGGATACTTCAACGAAATTTGGAATATTCCCGTCGTGTTCAAAAATAGGTTGAATATGATCCACAACATCCGTAAATGACAATCGCACGTTTGTATTTCGATCCTGGTGGCTGTATTTTTCGTTATAAACGGCCCACTCTGGCAAGCTCTCGGAGAAGGCCCAGCTTAGAGCACGTGACATCCAACGCAACCGTGACGTAGGTCGTCTCAAGACGAGCAAAGCTACGGCGAGGCTGACACCGAGAGGATGGCCTAGTCGTTTCAGCCACCGAAGCGGCTGCTTTTGTACAAATTTTGAGTGACGGGATAATCTTCTATAATCTTGTAGGGGGACAATAGAGACTTCTGCGACACACAAAAGGGATTCTCGGGAAGTGGGGAGTTCCTCCTTCCCCCCTTCTCTCGTCGTGGCCGGAGACGAGACAACCTCCGTCATTAGCTGTCAAGGTTCCTAGACGAGCATTACAAACAAGGCGTTAGCGACATCCACCAAGTGCTCTTTGCTAATTGTTTAATTCGTTTTAAAATTCCTTTTCGAAACTTTTTTAACAATATATTGGTATATTCCATGTGATACTGCTCTTTTGAACACATATAGACCAAAAAATGAGCGCCGAAATTTCGTTGTAGTATCCCTTTAAAAGGGTATTCACACGAGAGAGAAATCTCGGCGATTTCTCCCCGGCACGCGCATCCCACGTAGGAAACGTCAGGCTTTGCAATGTGCAAAAGCTGCGCGTTTTCATCTCGTGATGCGCGCGTGCCGGGGAGAAATCCCCAGGATTTCTCCCTCGTGTGAATACCCCTTAACCTATCACCGACTATAGAGGGTAAGATCGTACTGCCTAGTTTTCTACGTCACCTGCCGAAAGTCATCTCGAGGCAAACGCATGGTCATGACTGTTGCATTCGGCTGAGTCTCGTGTTAAATCAGTAGGGACATGAACCACTGCCGAACCCTGACGCAGCCCTCGTGGCTAACCTGCATCGCGCGCTCGCCCAACACCTCATAGATAACAAAGCCGTAATGATAAGAGATATGTCGTCATCAGCGGAGGCCAACGCTGGGCACAGATTGGACACGACGATTGCGTCAACGTTCGGCTCAAACTTGACTCGAAGCCGACCGCCTGGCCCAGCACTCGTTTTCAATCTGTGTCCAGCTTTGTTTGGCCTTGGCTGGTGACGATAAAATGTCAACACTACGGCCTTGTCTTTACTGAAAATCGCAGGTAATCGAGCACTTTGCCACCTGGGAGACATTGCTTTGTGAAGTGCGCTTGTAAAGAGAAAGTGGAAAGAGCGCGACGTCAGGACACCTGGACAATCGATAAACGGATGTGTGCATAACAGGATATTGAACTTCGAGGAAGGGTTTTGCTTCAAGATTTGGGTGACGCTGTTGGCATTGCTTGTTCATTAAATAGAGGTTGTCTTCATGCTTCCAACACACTGGTGTACTTAAAAGCATTGGGGTCGTTCCAAGCCTGCGTAGTGCTTTCTATGCAAACTCAAGATTCTGTCCCACTTTCCATGGCACCTTGGTGCGCTGATAATGGCAAACAGGAAGTCCGGGTCTGTAGAATGAGGTTAAGCAAGCCTTTCCGATTGTGATACTGATACTTTTAAGGTGTGGTCGGCACACCCGAACAGTATCTAAAACAAATATACTAGAACATAGTGATATCGGCTGTCTTCCAAACTGAGGCAACATAATGAAGAACGAGCTAAAGGAAATACATATTCGTATGCATACGCCGCATTTTACTGGCAATCAGGCGAATAAAACTACCGACTTGCCTCGCGAAAACAATTCACAGGGTGCTATGAACCGATGCCGGATAGATAAATGGAAGCATATCACCCAATCCACTAATTCGGGCGGCGAGTTGTGCCATCTGGCCAATGCCTTTAATGCCCATATTTTATTTAAAAAAACAAAACAAAAAAACACTCCGTCTCAAAAACAGCGTCGTCAAGTGGGGCTCTCGAGAAACACTAATTACGTTCTGTCGGTAGGGTCGGGAAACATTTCAACGATAGAAAGCTTTGCCTTCCGTAAATTTCCATGCAATGCGGTAATTTAAGCGATGTAATTATCCTACTTAAGCGAATGGCGCCTCATTTACGCTTCGCAGACCAGTTAATATTCGTATTCTTACAATTCTAAAATGTCCCGCAGGCACGATGGATGGCGCAGCTGTTGGCGGGGAATCGGAAGCTGCCCTCGGAGGCGGAGATGTACGACGACATCGCCCGCAAGAGGGCCGCCCTTCGTCGCCGCTACGTAGACTCTCCCCGCCACACGATCCAGGTGGACTGGATCGACTACATGGACGAGCTGGCCGACCAGTTCGGCGCTCGACCCAAGATACTCAAGTACCTTTTCACCGACTACGAGCTGTTCAAGGCGCTCTTGGGACCCTGCGTCCCTTACCAGTTCAGGCTCGAGGGACCGCATTCTTGGGCAGGAGCCCGAGACGCCGTCTTGGGAGCCCGGGAAAGGATTCACTACCCGCTCAATCGCAACTGCACAAGCTTCAGCACCAAGAAGGGAGTCTCTCCGGCGTTTTATATGGTCGTAGCCGCATTTGTAATCTTCATTGCGTACCTCATGTCCAGCTAAGGGTGACAAACTCGTAGATCTGCCACGAAGCTGTGGGAAGATGCAAATGCGCACAATTTCAGCGCGTTTTTCACAGCGCATGCTCGGAACAAGCTCTCATATATTGTGTGTAGACATTGTTAGCCCCCAGCGCAGGTTCTCGCAGCAACAAAAACTGGCCATGACTGAATGCTATCCTCTCGAACATTATTTTGTTTTATACAAAGTTCTGTACGGACATGAAAAATAGTCACTCGCCCCTCCCCGCGTCACCTCGGTATTCGACTCAGTCAAGGGCATATGGAATAAAGCAGCGTGCTTACGAATCCTTCATTCACTCGAACGCCTTTCCGGCGCCGCTAAGTTTTAGAAGTCTCCTCAATATCAAAATTAACATCTGGTTCTGAGCAGTACAGAAATGTGGGTCACCTGGCGTCACCCGAAGTCCGCAGATCTCTGGGCTCAAGAGGCCTTTTTATGTACTTGTGCAATTGTCGCGATACAGCTATGTTAATAATGACTTAAGATGTTTTTTTTCCTCTTAGAATATCAGTTTCTATGTGTTTATTTGATCACAACCGAGAACTTTCAAGTTCCTTACGAGGAATAGATAGATAATTGACAGAAATTGCACTACATTGTTTTCATGTGGTTTAAATTGTCAAGCCATTTTTATTTGTGCAGTCGCACGTTTCCAGGTCTACGCAAGTATGGGGCAATGCGGCTGTTATAGTTATTTTATCACTTTCATTCTGTACACTCTAGTCAACACTAACTCGCTGTTTTGTTATTACATGCAGAACTAGCGCATGTGAGCCAAAACACTTTCCTGACGTGGGAGGTCTTTCGTATCCTTAAAAGCCGAGGTTGAAATAAACTTAATGAGACGATATTGATATTTTTGCTTTATTGCACAAGCGCCGGCATGATTTGCCTAGCCTTTGACGTCTGTGTCTATTTTTATGTCAACTCACAGGAAATCAGAGAAATAGTATGGTCTGTGCAAAGTGAAGGGCTTCCGTTGTCCACCACTTTGAACCACCCCGAGACTGCGGAAATACCAAAATTGGGTCCAAGAGAAGAGAAGCAGAACGTCTCTCTTTTTTAGACGTTCGCTTTCTCTTCGCTTGGTGCCAACTCGAGTATTTGCTCAGTGTTCGGATGCTTTACTATGTTCAGTATACAGCAGCTCACTTGCACCATTACGTTCTGTTCGTAGTCCATCAACCTAAAAAACAAAAATATGTGTGTATATATATGAAACTTTAGTTCGTGTTTTTCTTTTTCTAGACTCGTGAATTCGTTTTTTACGTAATATGTTTTATTTGAAAATTTTAATGAATGATTTTGTTATTCACGTTGTGTTTTGGGTACATGCTGTGCTTCCTCGTCACGTTTAATTTTGAAATAAAAAGTTGGAAAAGAGTTGTTTCTAGAGTTCTCTTTATGACGTGAACTAGATCAGGCAAAAACAATCATGACAGCCCTGATTTCTTTTCAAGAAATATATATCATACTCCTCTTCAATTTCACCGATATATATTTTTACAATTAGTATGTATGACTACGTACTATGGAAAACCAAACAATATTCCCTCCTCGTGTATAAACTTGGCTGGCCTCTCATTTAGCACCTAGCACCGGGGTGTCGAACCGTAACCGTAACTGAACTGTAACCGGAACTGAACCGCTTATTTTACTTGAACCGGAACAGAGTCCGAACCGAAATGTTCCGCGTCATTTAGAAGCTGAACCTGAACCGGAGAAAAACAAAAGAACCGTTCCAAACCGGTTCTCCTAACGGTTTCGGCTCGCATTCGCACGACAAACCTGTGCGCCGCGCGCAAGAAATTTTGAGAGGGTTAGCGCTGCGAGGCGAGGTCGTTCTACTTATGCAACAATTTTTGGAAGCATATCTTAGAAAAACGAAGCTCAATAACCGCTGTTACTGACTGTCACCAAATCCACCTTAGCCGCCCAAATTCATCGCGTCCACGCGCCTGGCAAGAAGTCGCCGCCACGTGCCCACGGAAGGACGCATTGGGCCGCCACGGAAACAACAACGCAGCATAAAATTCGGGTCTACGACGCCTGATCGAACGCCATTTCATTCCGACATTCTTTGGTGAACGGGCTCGTTTTATCGAAGCTCGGTTTAGAGAAATCGGAAGTAGAAATGGTTTAGGTTGTCTTGATCTCGGACCTCGATGGAGCATGCTGAGCTACCGTCGGGAACTGGGGAACATCGTGAAAGAAGTGGTCAGGAAGCTGGTTGGAGTTGATGGCTTGTTGTGGAGGCCAAGGGTGGAGAGTTAAAGGGCCCCTGAAAAGAAAAAAAGAAGGTGTTAGGACACGCGTCTAGTTAGGACACGCGCTTCAAAAAAATAAATTTACGGGTAAAAAAATTCTAAGGCAATATTGACGGCACGAGACGCTATATAGTCGTCAGTCAAACCCCTTTCCATTTGTTTTCTTTAACGAGTTAGAGGGGCTTAGAGTGATAAACCGGGGTTCCGGTCTGCACACGAAAGTGACCCCAATAAGGCCGCTGCCATTGTACGCAAATTTGACCACTCGTCATGTGACCGAACCAAATACGTGACGTCACGGGAAAGATGGCAGCGCCCAGGCAGCGGCTGGCCCCAGCTGGGCCGGAGCTTGTCGGATGCTTTGTTCGTTGTCGTTCGTGTCGGCGAATTCATTTCAGACGCGGAAGGCGTCATATAAGGCCGATCGAAAGCGATTTGAGAGTTCAGCGTGATCTCTGACGTAGGTGTAATGTGAAAATAAGGAGGAAGGGTGCGCATTTCGCTGGTGACCGACGGGACTATTGCTGCGAAAGAGACAATCGCCCTACGTTGCTCGAACCTCGGATTGATTCGGATACCGCTAGGATAAATGTTAAGGCGACGTTTCTGTGCTCTTGTTGACCATCGGAATCTTCGAGGTCTGCGGTGAAGCTCTGGTCAAGGCGAGCGCGTTGAACATGAATACATAAAGTTTAAAGAATAAAACACAGAGGACAAGCACAGGACAACCACTTTCTTTCATATAGCAACGATGTTTATTTTGGGCAAAGACATTGCACCCTGAGCGAAACCCCGACAAGATAGGTTGATAAGGGGGAAGGCTAACAGGGAGATGGAAAGGGTGATATGGGGGAGGGAAAGGAAACTTCGGAGATGGAAAGGTGATAAAGGGGAAGGGAAACTGGGTGATGGAAGGGGTGATAGGAGAAGGAAAAGGGGAACCACGAGGTACGGGCAGAGCTACAGGGATGATGTGTATTTACGGGGAGTTGCGATATTTCTCAAGTTCAGGCTTGAGGAATTCTAATTCCCGTGTCGTTGTTGAAAAACTTTATTGAGTTGAAAGATTTAGGAAAGGGACGGGGAGAAAGGGGAAGAAGAAGGAGAGAGTGGTTGTGTGCCCCTATTCCGGGGCTCCAAGTGCGGAGTGAACTCGGAGTGCTCGGGCCACGAGCAGCCTCTGCTCGCTAGCCGTCGCGTACTTGAGTCCCGCTTCCCACTCCTCGAGTTTGGGCTCCTCGACTGGAGCCAGTCCTGGGAGGTTCTTGCATGCCCAGACAACGTGATAAACGCCCACCCAGGGCTCACCCCAGAAGGGACAGTCCGCCGTGGCGTACCGCTCTGGGTACCACAGATGTAGCTGGATCGGTGTGACGAACGTGTCCGTCTGAAGTCGTCTCCACGTGAACTCTTCTTCTTTGCTGAGACCTTTGGCCGGCCCAGGATATTCTGCCCTATGTGTTCGTAGAGCCTTTAAGGCCTCACTGTAAGTGAGCGCACTGTCCAGATCCCTCTGGGGCAGAACCGAGTCCCGGTATAACGCACCTCGGGCCACAGCATTCGCCGCCTCGTTTCCGACTTGCCCCATATGGCCGGGGGTCCAGATCAGATGTACTCACTCTACTGCGGTTTTGCGGAGGAGCCTTAAAGCTGGTTGACCCACGACCCCTCGCGCAAAGTTTTGACAAGCTCTTTGTGAATCCGAAATTATCGTCGCACGAGGATTGCAAACCACCGTCAATGCTATGGCCGCCTACTCCACTTGTTCAACCGTCTGCGCTCGTATGGAGGCGACGCGTCTGATCTGCCCTTGCGCACTGGCCACCGCTATTGCAGCCACCCCCAGCACCGGACCGGCCCCATCCACGTACAGGGTTCCCTCTCTGCTGTCCCAGGAACGCGCTAGGGCCACCGCTCGCGCTTGTCTCCGTTCCGCATTCCTATCCGGGTGCATGTTGCGGGGGATTCTACTGATCGTGAATCTCTGCCGGGTCTCAGCCGGCAGGTCTTCCCCCGCGTCTCCGGGCCCGTGAGAACCGCCGGGTACTGCCATTCCCAGTTTGTCCAGAAGCCACGCTCCATTCACTGTGGAAGAGAGTCGCTTCAGCTGTGACACTAGCTGAGCTTCATGAAGTTCTTCTATGGTGTTATGCACCCCAAGTTTAAGCAGTTTCTCGGTCGCCGTACGCTCCGGTAGCCCCAGCGCGTTTTTGTAAGCTCTCCTTATCAGTACGTTTAGCTTTTGCATCTCCGCCTTGTTCAAGTTCAGGTACGGAGTGCCGTACGTCAGTCTGGCAATAATGAAGGCCTGGACCAACTGTATTGCCTCTTTCTCCTTTATACCGTGTCTACGGTTCCTAATTCGCCTCATCATACCGCACACCTGCGTGGTCATGGCGTCCAGTCTGTCGATTGTCGACTTGTTCCCCCTCCCCTGCTGTAGAAGCTGGCCCAGAATCCGAACCTCCGCTGGTTTTGGGACCCGGACCCCATCTATCACCACGTCAATGTGATCGACTAGCTTATCGCGAGGGTTTCGGAAGACAAGAAGCTCAGATTTCTCCGGGGCGCACTTAAGCCCGCATCTCATAACGTACTCTCCGACGATATCCGCCGCCGCCTGAAGCTTCTCTTCTATTTCCGCGTCACTGCCCTCCCTGCACCACAGGGTGATGTCATCCGCGTAGATGGCATGCTCCACGTTCGGAACCGCCCTCAGCGCTTCTGGTAGACCCCGCAGCGCAAGGTTGAACAGCAACGGGGAAAGTACTGCCCCTTGAGGCGTACCCCTGGAACCCAGTCTGTATGTCCCAGATTGCATACTTCCCAACGTCAACGTGACTGTCCTGTCCGTCAAGAAACTGCACATATCCGAAGGTTCTTCTCCTGCAGTTAACTGTGCTGAGACCCCTAAATATGCTTTCGTGCGAAACATTATCAAACGCGCCTTTCAAGTCTAAAGCTAGAAGGCCTCTCGTTTGGCCGCTCCTCGGATTCTCCAGTATATCCTTATATACCCACAAGAGTATGTCCTGCGTCGATGTGTGAGGTCTGAACCCGAACTGCGTGTTCGGAAGGAGTTGTTCCTTGTCTAGATACTTCATAACCCTGGAGTTTATGACTCGTTCGAACGCCTTGCCCAGGCAAGATGTAAGCGAAATCGGCCGCAGATTTTCTAGCTTGAGCTCCTTTTTGGGTTTTGGAATGAAGCGAATGTCAGCAACCTTCCAACTATCTGGAGTAAGCCCGCGCTCCCAGAAATGTTCGTTGAAATGGCGTACCAGCTCTTTCAGATCCCCTTCCCCTAAGTCGTAGAGGAGTTTCGCTGTGAGGGAGTCCGGTCCGGGTGCTGCGCCCTTCCTCATAACCCCGAGCTCATACTCCAGCTCCGCGACAGTAATTGGCCTGTCTAATTCAGGGTTTTCCTGCCCTTCATACTCCACGATTTCTCCTGTGGATTCCAAACACAAATACCTTTCCGCCAGCCGATCCATGATCTGCTTGCGGTCCCCGGGTAACTTATGTATCAGTTCCGCTAAACGGCCGCCCGTCACCGCCTTTGCCCTACTCGGATCAATTAAGGCCCTAAGCATCCTCCATGCCTGAGCCGTGCCTAGGCTTCCCCGTATAGAGTCACACAGGCCATACCAGTTCTTCCTAGCCAAGTCCACCGCATAGTCCTCGGCCAGCTTTGTGAGTGCTTGAATCCTCTTCCTCAGCTTCTTGTTGTAGCGCTGTTTCTTCCATCTCCTGGTCAGCCCGCGTCGTGCTTCCCAAAGATGAAGCAGACGCGTGTCCACTGCTGGGGTCTTCTCTGAGAGTTCCACTTCAGCCACGAACGGCTTGACACTGGCGATCACCTCCGAAGACCAATCCTCGATGTTCTCGATGCTAGCTGCACCTTTCCCTCTCTGTTTTCGCCATCGGTCCCAATTCGTTATTCTTGCCTTTCCCGTCTTTCTTGTGTATCCGGACTCGTGAATAGTCGTTTCGAGGATACAATGATCGCTACCGAGTTGCTCCATGAGGTTAGTCAACTCAGCGTTCGCCACGTTCTTGACAAGCGTCAGGTCCGGACAGGTGTCTCTGCATGAGCTCGTGCCCGTCCTGGTTGGC